GACGTGCAGAAGGGCCCAGATTCGATCCTTGACAGCATCTTCAGCAGGGACCAGGCAGCAGGTAATGAGAAAGACCTCAAAGAGCAGCTGTCTGAGGAAAAAATACTGGCTTTGATGGACTGATTCAGCTTCGTGTGTTCAGAGAGCCTCCAGGAAGGTGATTTCTTGCATGTGGTAAAACTATAGGCCATTCTGACACCTCAGTAGCCATTTCTACCTTGTTCCACCATCTTTCTAGATCAGGCCCTACTGAATGTAAGGGACCTCAGGCTTGCAGCTCAGGTTAGTATGGGAATAAGGTTGCATAGGACTCTGGGGGCCCCATAGACATCTGCAGCCCTTTCCCAGGAATCTTGTAACCAAGAGGAGGAGGCCCTTCACTACCCAAAGGAGTCTCAGAGTGGCTTACAATCTCCTTTCCCTTCCCCTCCCCACAACAGACACCCTGTGAGCAATGCTCCCTCCGAGCTGTGGAGTCTTGTGAGGGAAAATTCTACTTTGTGAGCTGCTGGTGTTAAACTTGTGAGTGATCGATTTGGCCACTGCATCAATTGGTTTGCTCTGGAGCCATCCTTCCTGAGCTGAGACAAAAATGTGCGAGCCGGAGGCTAAAAAATTGTGAGCTAGCTCACACTAACTCAGCTTAGAGGGAACACTGCCTGTGAGGTCGGTGGGGCTGAGGGAGCTCTTTCGAGAACTGCCCTTGAGAGAAGAGCTCTGAAGGAACGTGTGACTGACTCAAGGTCACGCCAGCAGCTGTATGTGGAGGAGTGGGGAATCAAACTTGGTTCTTCCAGATTAGAGTCCATGCTCCTAACCACTACACCATACTGGCTCGACACCAAGCAGCCCCCATCTCGTATTTTGAGAACTTATGATGAATGTGAAAGACTAACAATACGAAATGATGATTCCAGATGGGTAGCTGTTGAGGCCTTGACCTGGATAGCCCCGCCTAGCCCAATCTCATCAGAGAGCCAGTTTGGTGTAGTGGTTAAGTGTGCGGACTCTAATCTGGGAGAACCGGGTTTGATTCCCCACTCCTCCACTTGCACCTGCTGTGACCTTGGGTCAGTCACAAGCCCTGGCACAGCTGTCCTTGAAAAAGAGCAGTTTCTGTCAGAGCTCTCTCAGCCCCGCCTACCTCACAGGGTGTCTGTTGTGGGG